GACGCGGGACGGGACGGGATTGAAAATATTTAAGCGAGATAGGACGGGACGGGATACAATCTCTGAACAACTCCCGCCGGGCCTTGCCGGGACAGTTTCTGATCGTCCCGTCAGTCTCTGACTCTTATACACTTGCAATTGATGTATCTTGATTGTGTTTCATTATTAGGTTTAATCTAAAATAATTCGAAAAGCATAATGTTTCTTTTTCAGGACTTAGACTATAAACAATGTTCTCTTGAGTTGCTCAGTGATTATGTTTTTAGAAAAAAAAAGAATTCAACAAAAGATTTTTAAAGAGTAAACATATATATGTATGTCTCTCTTTTTACTAGTGTTTTTATTGCTTTAAATTATAGTCAAGTAGAATAGCAGAATATCAACAAGAACTAAATGTAATTAGGACTACCCAGTGAAAAATATTTCTAAAAATAACGAAAGAGAAGGCATTCATAAAAATGTAGAGACTTGTCTTTTACATGAAGAATGTATCCCACAACTTAGCGAACGTTTCCACAAATAAAAAGAAAAGTTCTGAGTCTAAAAGAACTCATTCTTTACTGTTCCACACTAGTACGGAATGCTTTCTTCTCAGTTCAAAAATCGTTCTCTATCTGGATAGAAAGCGTTCTAAACCGTTCCATGAGCCATTAGAACGTGTCTCTGCCCATTCTATTTCGAAACAGTCAAGATAGGATTCCATCGAAATAAGACCACTTTTTTTTGAACATTCTCTTGAAAAACACCTGAGAATGGATTCTTTTCACCGATGAACGCTTTCATCTGAATTTAACGTCACTTTTGATTCAAAAATGACAACTCTGAAGTACGACACCCTGAAACTGATGCCAAAAATGGTGGAATCTTCAATTAGCCATACTTTACAATTGGCAGTCCTGATTCCAAAAAAATTTCTTTTTAATAATAGTTTGAGCCATGAAAAATTAGAGCACGCCATTGGATAGAGCTCATCGAGTTGCACCAAAATCGATCTTTCAAAAAATGATGTCTGAACTTTTCTTCGAGAACTCTTATAGTGAATCTAAATTCAGGCAATAACGAGCAAAAAAGCTGGACCAGTTAAGAACGCATTTCGAAAAACATGGAATGTATTCTTAATGGTTCCATTTTGGAACGCTTTCCACTTTTGTTGGAACGTCTTCTTTTCTTAAAAAAAAAGGCTTTTAATTTTACGGAACGCATTCTTTCCCGTTCTTTGAAGCATATATTTTTCACTGGATTTTCTTGTTAGTCAAAACCTAAATCCATTTAAGGTTTTTGTTAGAATATTATGTAGTGTCGATAGATGAAGACATTTTGAGTCGATTCGTTCGTTCGAGATCAAAAATTTATCTCGTCATCTTAGTTTTCTTTACGTTTTGATTGAATTAAACCAAAAGTTAGAATATCAGTTAATAATAAACTAACTAATATGGTGATAACAATGTTTAATATATGTAGAGAAATTGACGATTTTTCAGTAGGTATATTATAATATTCATCTTCGTAACTTGAAAAACAAAACTTTTTTCAAATATAGCTTCCATAGCTATTCACAGGAACTTAAACGATGATCAGCATCTTCATCAACATGATAAACACATTTACCATGTACACAATAACATTGTGAAACAATTTCATGTTCGGCAACATTTACTTTAGAGAAAATTTTTCACAAAATTTTATTTCTTCTCTTTGAATTTTTATATACACACGTGCATTACACGTTTAAGTACCTTCTTGAATTGTTGCGTTAAATGGACATAAATATTCATAGTCAAGTAAGGGTTTGAAAAACATAAGTGTGAACAATGAGCTTTACATATGAATTTTATATTAAAAAAGACAAACAAAATTAAATTTTTTCTTTTACTTTCCTACTAATTTTTTGTTCGTCTAAACTTGATTGAATATGCCGTTAACAAATGATAAGTGTAGGTATTCCAATTTCAACTTTTTCAATGGTAAATAATGAACGGTTTTCATAATTAATACAATGCAAATGACTTGCAAACGTATCTAAAGAATATTTTTTTCATCTATCCGATAAAAATCCATAACTACAACAGTTGGATGCATTATATCTATATCAATTAGTATTGTCCTATTTTCACCTTTCATAAAAGCTGATTCAATAGTAATAATACGTTCATTAGGATTCTCAATAGCTTCATGTTCATAATTAATAAAATAAAGTATTCCAACCATATGATTAACAGTAACAGTTATTAATTGAGTTGCATGATGTTCATCATTTTTAAAAACCCATATACAACCATAAATAAAATCATTTACATGAAGATTTTGACCAATCCAATGGAACATAGGTTTATTTGTGTCAATAAAAATAAAACTAACAGCGATTTCAAAATAAAAGACCCCTAAGTATTTTTTGAATAACTGTTGATAGGTTTATAGTCATCTTCTGACCAACACTTTTTTCTTTGCGTATTTTCATCAATTTTCATAATAATCTCAACTCAAATTATGTCAAAATGTAACTTGAATCACACTTTTTTCGTTCTGAAGTTAACATTTATTTTTTTAAATCCATTTACAATAAGTGGTTGAGAGATAATGAAAATTGTGATAATTTTATAGCGAAAAAAGTGTGATTTGAGCTACATATTGACATAATTTGAGTTGACATCATTGTGAAAATTGATGAAAATACGCAAAGGAAAAAGTGTTGATCAGAAGATGCTTATAAAAAAAATATGTTTCGTCGTAATGAGTTCTATACAGATCGATGGCTCGGACATTGCTCTGTCGAATGGTGAAATCTGTAGCTCTTTATCTCATTCCTATCAAAATTCTATTTTGAAAACGATATTACTATCATGTTAATCTTCCATAAATACACCATAATTTAATACATTTTTTGTGAAATTTCGAAGAAAACGACAAATTTCATCTACTTCGGATATTAGAAGATCAATTGTTTGATCTGTATAAAAAGTGATAAATAAAAATATTTGTTCTTATCTCAAAATTCAAAGAAAAATATTATGTACTCAAAGTGAAAACTCGCCAGAATTCAATACAATTTGATCAAATCAATATTCGATTTTGTTTTCTTATCATTGCGATATGAGATATGATGACATAAATCGTTTTTTTTTGAATGTTTCACAAAGATGATAGGGTATAAAAGAATTTTGTCTTATACAGTATTGGGCAAAAAAAGACATCTGGAATCTTGTCTTTTGATTTCTGAAAGCCATGAGTCATTATCGGTTACTATTGTCAAGTTATTAACATTAAACATACCCTTGTTTAATTTTAGTATAAGCATTAACTTCGACTAACATGAGATGTTCAGTAAGCCTAGTTCATGTTTATATTACACAGAGGGATTTTGAGAAGGCTAGAACAATCTTTGAAAAGTTTAGTAACTATGGGTCTCTGGAACTGAATTGAATAATTGCATTTTCATGTACATTAATTGATGTTAAGAGAATATAAGACAAAATTGAATAATTTTATATATTTAATGAAAGATATTCTATTAGAATTCAAAATATACGATAAAAAGAAGCAATATATACACTAAAAATAATTTTTCCTAATAAAATTTCTGTTACTCAATATCTTGTAATTACATTAACGTTGAAAGTTTACTGATAAGGAATCAAAAATGAGTACTACTTGTTGAATAACGATTCAATCTATTAACTGTACTTGATTGAAAGTCAGCTGTAATATAAAAACATATTTGTGAACAATAGTTTAATGTAACATATTCAGATTTTATTGATTCTTTAATACTGAAAACGATTGATTGAATGACAAGGTACTGTTTGGCATGATTTAATTGTTTTATCACTAAATAAAAATAGAGAATTATATAATATATGTTGATATTCTCTTTCTTTCTTATTGATTATTTGTAATCGAGGCAATCATTATCTAAAGTCGAATTATTTTATTAAAGCTCAATAAGAAAAAAAGAACACCGATAAAACATCTGTATTACTTATTTAATGATCAGAGCAACATTTAAAGTATTCATTCAAAAATATTCGAGAAGCTACTGTATCACCTCTACCACAATCACCATCGCATAGCATACTATTACGGAAAAAAAAACATTTGTGTAAACTTTCGAATTCTATTAAATATTATTTTCAAAATATTATTGTGAAATATATCGATCATTCGAACATCGAAATTCATTCTCACTATATTCATGATAGACTGAAAAAATTAATTGAATAAACGAACTATCCAATTTTGATACGTTTCAAGCATCCTTACTTCGTTTGCTTTACTCAGACTTCAAAAGGTTGACTCAAGCTTGCAAACTTCTCTCAATAAGGAAACGGAAAGTTCCAAGAACTAAGATAAGGTTGGCTAGATTTTTCGAACAACAATCTGAAAGTATAGCGGCGCAACCGTGGATATGGATAACTTCAAATATTTATTCGGCATAGATGGATAAATAACGACAGATATTAAAATGATAAAGGTTAAATTTCTCCACAAACTAATTTGTTTCAATATTGTTAGTAAATATATGACAAACTTTTCAATACTAAATAATAATTCACTCATGTAAATCTAGATTCCATGTTATAATCATAATTACGTGTTATATTGAAGTAGATGTTTAATCAAGATATTGGAAGAAAAGAAAACTTTCTAGGCTGAAAAAAACATGTATTTCGAGTTTATCAATTCTCTATTGAGATGAAGAAGAAATTTCACATGTTGAAAAGAGAAATTTGATATGGGTGAGGGTGTGGGTGTGGGTAAGAGTGTGAGTACGAATGTCGGCGTCGGGACGGATGCAACTATGGCTCTGTATGTTGTATTAAAATCCACCCACACCCACACCCCACACCCACACCGCCCACACCCACACCCACACCCACACCCACACCT